TGAGGTAAAATTAGTTACAATATTGTTTTTGGTTTATATATATAGTACATCCCCCTTCACATGTTACCACACCACATCTGCCAGCAAAACAATCATGGTCTGTGTTCTCCCTCCACCCCTTCCTTCCCCCAGATGCAGCCTGGTAGCCATAAGTAGGAAAGGAAGGGAAGAGTTCTCCCTAAGAAAAATAGGTAGGGGGAAGAGAATTAGCATTAAATGAACACCTACTATGTATATCAAGCACTAGAACACAGGATTTGAATAAGCCATTTCACATCGTCCAAATAAGACTAGAAAAATCGTATCTTCAGATGAGTATACTAGAAGATTTGGGCCTATTAGACCAGACCACACACTCAAAGGCAATGATACTTGGACCAAAGCCCATCATTTACTACTCTTCTGACAGAAAATCCTGCTAACAGTGACTTGTTCTTTACTCTTTCCAAGAATTAAAGAGCAGGAAGTTGAACAATACAAATATGATCCCAACTATGTGAGGTGAGAAATGTCATCAAGGCAGCATCCAGTTTTCAAACAAGTGCATTCCAAAAATTCATGCCAAGAATAGAACTTAGTGAATATTTTTACAAGTTATATATGAAGGTTAAGTTCTTGAGCTCACTCACACTATTGTTTTTGGTGGGCTTTAGAACTATAAGCCCGGAAATAGAGTTCCTCTAATCCTCTGTGGACACTGACTCCTACTGGGCACTCTTGCAAACAGATAAACTCCAACATGACTTAACTAGCTGTGTATAAGGGGTTGGGGAGGAGGAGTTGTAAAGCAAGCAGCATAAAAAGAAGGGTCTGTATAAGAAAAGTTCTACAAATGCAGTTGTTAAATGTTATATTGCAGAGTCTCTCAATACTAGCACTATTAATATTTTGGATCAGGAGATATCTCTAATATCTCTAATATTTTGTTATAGGAGATTGTCTGGATCATTATTGAATTCTTACCAGCCCTTCTGGCCTCATTCCACTAGATGCCAGTAATATCTGATCACCAATTTCTGTTTTGTTGTTGTTGTTGTTTTAATTTATTTCTTTTTGCATACAAGACTGGGGTGCAGGCCATAGGCATGAGAGTGGGGTGAGGTGACATGATTCACCAGAAACGAAGCAGGTAGCAGAACAGACAGATCCACCAAAATACACTGCTGAAGAGAGTGGGGTGAGGAGGGTGGAAGTGAACAGGAGAGGTCTGCTGTACCACATGTGCTAGCTCCCTGGCTGGGGATCTAACACATGCTGCAGATAGATTATAGAGCTGAAACTTAACACCTTGAGCCACTAGAGAGGTCCCTAGTTTTCTGGTCAGAGAAAAGTTCCCTGAAGGACCAAAATTATTCTTCACTAGGACATTGGAAATCAAAGCTCTCAAAACAATGTCTTTCAACCATTTCAGTCTTCTACAACTATTAAAAGCTTAAAATCCAGGTTTCTGTGGATGAATTACTAATATGCAAACAGCACATAGTATTTTTAAAAGTAAAATACTATGAGGGTTGTAAATGATTATTTTTAACACCTTTAAAGATCTAGATATCCTTAATACCGAAAAATATTTTTACATATTTTTCTTAAATAAGAAATGATTCAGGGCCCTCCCTGGTGGCACACAGGGTTAAAGCACAGCACTAAGAAGCTAAAGCCACTTCAGCATGAGTTCGATCCCCACCCCAGGGATGATCCACATGGCACAGCAGACCTCTCCTGACCCACTCACTGCTCCCCTCAACAGTGTACTTCGTCAGTCGGCCTGTTCTGCTCCCCACTGTCTCTGGTGAATCCTCTCACCGCCCCTAAACCTCTGGCCTATACCCCAGTTCTGTATGCATAAATAAATAAATCTTTTTTTAAAAATAAGGAATGATTCAAATTTGCTTTAGCATCTCAGATAAAATATAGTGTTTCCCAGAACAATCTAAGATATTCTAGGTGAATGATAATATACTTGTTTTCAGGTAGTGATTTGGCATCAACAATGGGACTTTTCTTTGGCCATAAACAGAAAATGTGGGTGTGGATATAATGAAGCAATTGTATGGTTGGAAATAGTGAACAGCACACACTCTTCAAGGAGAGAGGGTCATACTACCTTCACAACACAGACCAAGAAAACCTACATGATCTTAAGCAATGGACAAGAGTTTCAGATTCCAAAAGTACACTGAGTTCTGTACTTTTTTCTCCTATTTCACTCTCTCTGCTTTCAAATGAATAGAAAGTGAAATCTCCTTCACAGCCCATCAAGCTAATGTCCAATTGCCCCCTGAGGGAGTTTACTTCTCTTTTATTTGAAAATTAAATTTCTTATCTGATCAACATCAAAACCTCCAAAGATGAATACAGAGGCAGAGTTGCCATAGATTGCTAAATGTTACACAGAGCAGAGGAAGAAAGAAATTACAGGATTCTTGCCTCGTGAGGCCTCTAGATATAAATCCTACATCTGAAAGCTGCTGTTTGGGAACTAGTTGTTACCATTGAAGTGGCCTCTCTCCTCATTCACATCTATTAAGTTAAAACTGTCCAGGAGCATTGAGAGCATTCAAGGATTGTATATAAGCAGAATGGAGTGGTTAGAAGCTAGAATTCTGGAGTCAGATGCCCTGAATCTCATCTCTGTCACTTACTTGGGACCTTCACTTCAACCTCTGTGTGCTGACCTCTCACCTATACTGTTATCATAAAAGTACCAAATTCATAAGACGAATAAATAGAATAAATGTATTAATATATAAAGTGAAAATGTTGTCTAACACATCAAGTGCTACAAAGGGACTTGTTAAACAGAATTAAATAAAGCAATATAAAAAATAAATAAATAAAGCAATATGTCTTTTGTCTCAGGATTACAATCAAGCAATGACTGAGGGGGAAATTATGAAATAAGCTTTTGTCTTTCTTACCCACCCCCTCTTTCTTTGAGTCCCTTCTTCCTTTTTTCATGTTCCTTTACCAGGTTCCCTGATGTTAGCAGACCACAATGGATGTTATTTAACACCCCTTCTGAGGGGTATTTGCATTCCTCTGGAGATCGCAAAGGGCTGAAAAGTCAACTTAAACTAGTGGATCTGTAAAGATGGAAGGCACTGTCTTTTCAGCTGGAGAGATTCTTCTGTGCCTGCTCTGTATACTTCTGAGGCTGGCCTTCAGGGGAACAAACAGGTATACAAATTCATACCTTTGAGCTTAAAACTAAAATTATAAAATAAGCAGCCTCAAATTTCTGTCTTGTAACAGATGGCAATAGGGATACCTTCTTGAAATGAATCATTCTTAGCTCAAGTTAGAAATATAAATAGTTTTCAGATATCAAAATAAATTTTATTTTTCATGAAACAAAAAAAGTAAGCAAGATGGAATACAGTTTTTAATACTGCTTATTTTACTAGCTGTTAATGTTTACTCACTTCTGATTTTCCTGAAATTATATACACTGTGGCCTAAATGCATTTAAATTGCCTTTGAATATCACAAGCAAGACTTAATACCATGGAAACAGAACCAAAGATATGCAATATGTCTCCTCAGGGGCATAATTTGGGGCTGTAGGGACTTCTGATTGGTTGTTCCCTACTCTACCACCTTGTCTCTGAAATGCAGTCATGTTATTTGGATTTACTTTTATTTTCCAAGAAAGCACACAATTTACCAAGTAATATAAAGTGCCGATCATCCATCAAAGTCTTCCCACACACATTCATAATCATGGGCATTTCCATACATGTCAGGAAGCATGGAAGATTGATCAAGAATGATTTAGACATTTGTGCAATGGCCTATGAGTTAACCTGCACCTTATATACATTTATTGGTGGAAAAAGCATGGCCTGGTGCCCTGAAAATTGCTGCCTAAAGCCCTGGGTCTTGAGAATGTGACTTGGCAGTTGTACAATTCTGTATAAAGGGCATATGAGGTAGTAACAATAAAGGACCAAAACTGAGAAATATATAACCCCTGACTCTGTTTGTGAAGTTCTTATTATACTGTAAGAAGATAACAAGTTAGCTATTTTCACCCCATATGTAAAATAGTTACTTGCAAGAATGTAGAATTGAATAGTGGATTAAACATAAGTAAATGTATGGTATAATCATACTATACAACAATAAGTACATACAAACTATATTTAGGCTCAACAAAATGAATGAAGTTCATAATATAATAATGAATGAATGAAGCAAGATATATGGTAAGACTCCATTCATACAAAATTTACAAGCAGATAAATTAAACTATGCCATTCAGGGATATAAAATTGGTGAAATTATAACAAGATGATTAAGTCAAATGACAAGATAGTGATTACCTTTGGGGAGAGAAGGAGTCAAGTGAGTTTGTTTGCAAAGGGCCACCTTCAGATTTCTGGTTGGCAATGTTCTTTCTGATTAGATGGTGTTTTCAGATGTTCACTTCATAATTGTTTTTTAAAGACTATATTTATTTATGGATTCCCGAACTGGGGTATAGACCAGAGGTGCAGGGATGGTGAGAGGATTCACCACACACAAAGCGGGGAGCAGAACAGGCCGATAGACAAAGTACACTGCTGAGGGGAGCAGCGGGTGGGTCAGAAGAGGTCTGCCATGCCATATGGTCACCTCCGGGGCAGGCAGGGATTGACCTCATGTGGAAGTGGCTTTAGCTTCTTAGTGTAGTGCTTTAACCCGCTGCGCCACCAGGGAGGGCCCTCACTTCATAATTTTAAATGCTGGTATATTTGTTTTATGCTACTTTCTTTGCATAAAAGAAAGTTTTGTATTTTTAAACAAGAAATAGAAGAAACTCTTGAGGAAAAGTCTCTGTGTTGGAGGTGTGGCGATAGAGAAATCACCTTTTCTAGAATTAAAGGACTTTCAGGTCATTGAAGTAGGAGCTGAAGGATAGAGAAGTTAGTGAAGATCTAATTCAGTGAAAAGGAGTCACCTCTATAGTTTGATTATTTGAATTCCTCAAAGCAAGGTATTAAACAGTAGGAGTTACTCACTTAAAAAGTATGTGCAGTGGAAATGGAAGCTCTTTGCAGGTTCTGGAGGCTGGTACTAGAGGTGTCCTCTTTTAAATCACACAGGCAACTTCTGGGCTTCTGTCTCCTTAAGTCCATCCAGCATTGAGTGAGAAATCCAAGAGAGAAGTGCAAACCTGCCAACAAAGAGTTCAAGATTGCAACTTCTAGAGTTGTCCACTACTGCCATGAAGAATCATGGACAGAAATATGGTTATTCACTGGCCAATTTCCATAGGTCCATGCTTCCATGAAAGCATCTTGAGTTGAAGGGGAAAACATTTCAGGGACTGTTAACCTGAAGGCAGAACCCTAAGATTTTAAATGGGATCTAGAACATTTTCACGATATCTTGCTATGACTGATTCTCTTGATTTTAAACTACTACCCAGGAAGATTTCAATTAAGTATTATTGAGCATTCCCAAACTGACTTGGAAAGAAAATATCTAGCAACTGTTCAGTTGATTGATCAGTATGAATGATCTGTGCCACACTAAACAACCTATTAGAACCAAAAGAATATATCGATGTCCAGTATTTGAAATCATTCAAAGCTCAAGATGAGCTTTAGTTTAGTTTTGTATTCTTGATACACCATTAAACTTCAAAAGAAGGAAGTAATTATACTATGCTCTTTCACAGTAGTGCTGAGCTTGACTTTCTATACCTGGGTTATTTATAACTCTGTAGGAATGCAGGTAGGCGAACTAACAGATTCTTGTCTGGTAGAGGTACAAATGATTTCTGCCTGGTAGAACAGATAACCCCAAAGGTTATATTATGACTTTGTTGGACTTAAATTAGTTTCATATAAATCTAGAAATTTTATGTTAGCATTGTCAAAAATACTTTCTTTCTCAAATGTTATTTGGACAAGTTTTTAAATCAATTACATATTGATTTAAAAAATTAAAAAAGAGTCTTTGTTCTGTGAAAGATCATATGAATGTGATAACACACCACCTATAGGCTGAGAGAAAATATTTGCAAACCACATATATAGTACTGGTATCTAGAACACACAAAAAGGAAAAACTCAACATTTAAAAAAAAACAAATAACCAAGTTAGAAAATGGGTCAAGGTCATGATTATATGTTCCACTGATAACTGTAAGTAAACACATGAAAAGATATTCAAAATAATTAGCTATTAGGAAAATTCAAATTAACACAAGGAGTTATTACTATATACCTATCAAAATGAAAAAATAAAAAATTAATGAGAACACTTAATGTTGGTGAAGAATACAAAGAAATGGAGACTGATCAATCTTATACTGCCAATGAATGCACAGACATTCTGGAAAAGTTAGGTAATTTCTCAGAAAACTAAGCACACAAATATCATCTATACAGCCATACCATGAAATTTTACTCAACAACTCAAAGGGAAAAACTATTGACGTGGGCAATAATTTGAATCCAGGGAGTTGTACTGAGTGGGTTTAAAAGCCAATGTTAAAAGATTATATACTGTATGATTCTATTTATGTAGCCTGGAGAGGAAGGCAGGCAAGTGGGAGACCACAAGCAATAAAAACAGACAGAGTAGCCTCAGGTGACATAGGATCTTGAAAGGGGACAAAAAGGGGAGGAAGCAGATCCTGTGGAGAAGATGTGAAGAGGGCCTCTTCCACCTGAAATTTTCCCAGGATGGGGTGAACAGAATAACTGAGCATTCTAACAGGATGGCTACCTCTGAGAATGAGGAAGGAGGCAGTATGAAAAGAGTCTGTGCCCTGACTTTCACCCAGAGACCCTAAGAGTCATTGGAAAAGATGTATGAGAACTTATGTCTAAAGCTATGCAAACACATACATAGCACCATCGAAGGACAAAGATTTTTAGGCTTTCCTCAAATCTTTAGGCCTGTGAATTTCTTCAACATCATGTTTCTACCAACCTTCCCTGTTTGTGAAAGCCACAGCAAGAGTAACCTTGAATTCTAATAGCAGGGAAAAGGTCTGGGGGGGTCAATAGCATCACCTTTTCTCCAGATCACACAAATGCTTTTATTTCTTGGGGGTTGTGAGTTTTATGGGGATTGTGAGTGGAATAGTTTAATTGGTTCTGTGGGTTATAAAGACAATGAATGCTATTGCAAAAAAACATCAATGAGTAGTAATAGAAGTTACATTTTCCTCTCACTCTACCACATTAGAATGTTCCTCTTCCAGATTTTCCATAATGGTATCACACTGCTCTGACACTTTGTTTTTACTTAAATATACTGTGGGCACCTAAATGTTCCACAACATACTGGTTCCAAGGTATTCTACTGTGCAAACACACACGCAGCACTGTTATCATTATTTGGTAGAAGTAAGGGCTTATGCTACAACACGTATCAGTGGAAATTTGGCAAATGTGGACACTATTAGATTTGGATCAGTGGTATTCTCAACTCCAATAAAAAGCATTTCACAATGTAACCCTAATTCTGTTAGAAACTGGTTTTTTTTTTTTTTTTTACCAATGCTCTGATAACATAGGAAAAGCCTTGTTTCACAAAGGTTACATGAACCCCCCTAGGCTGCTGGCTTTCTCTACACATGTATGGAATCACAAATGTGTTTGTGTGTGTGTGTGTGTGTGTGTGTGTGTGTTTCAATGCCCTTTCTTTTCAAAGTGTTTGTTACTGAATTTGACAGTAGGGAAGATAAGGCAGAAGTAATGGAGTTTCTCATGCCATCGTGTTTTAATGACTTTTCAGTAATAGCATGTCATTTAGTAAGTACTGTGTGGATAAGCACCATTTGGATATTATATGGCTCAGTTTAAACAACTCCATGGCATAAGTGTTACTCCTAATCTAAATATGAGGAAGCTAAAAGGAATAGAGATTAAACTTGCCTAACATCCATATCTCTCTGACTTCAAACTGCAGGTTCTCAGCCACATTATGCTGCCTCTTAGAGCATTTTTGTGATCATTTTTATGCCCTTTACCAATATCAGATCAAATTTTATCAGAAGATAAAATTTATTTTTTATCTTAAGGAATTTAAGAAATTATCTTTACTGATCAGACTCATAATTAGTTTAAGGATCTCTACAGATACACAGTGGTCAAAGTTGCTAAAGCAGCTGCTATGCTCAAAGTTAGGCGAAAATAAAATGTTTGCTGACAAATGGATAGATGGATAAATCCTAGCTAAGGCAGTGCATGGATAAACAAATAGTAATATACCAGATTACCTTCTTAATACATTAAGCTCTTTGAGAAGGATTATGTTTTTTTAACCAACAAACCTGTGCCTCATCTAGTGTTTATCATTCACCAAGTGTTTATATGAGCACAGAAAAAGGTAGGCATTGAGCTCTGAATCCAAATTTATTGTTGGTAAGATTTGAAGAAAATGAACTATTTCAATATCTTTCCACAGAATGAAAAGTTTAAATTCAGGAGAAAGGGTACTTCAGAGGTGGTCGAAATTTTGTTAAATATGTTCTCTATGAAATAAGTACATAACTTTTTATTATAATAGTTTATTTTTACATCATTTTGTGCCTTTTTCCATCTCAGTTGTAATTCCCGTGAGCTTCCCATCACCAAATCACCCGTGTGCCATCACCATAGTCCTGTGCACTCCCCCTTCCCATTTTTGATCCCACTCCCCACTCCATCCCCTAAAATGTCTCTGGTACATAGTTGTTCATTATTATTTCCCCACCACCACACCCCCCCCCCCCAACCGCGGTCCTTTATGCTCCTGCTATGAGTGAAACCATTAGTATTTTTCTTTTTCTTTCTGACTCCATAAGCACACATTTTTATACATCTGGAAAATATATATGGTCCCCAACTTTTGATGGCTCTATTTAGGATTATTTAGCTGTACTCTGGTACAAAAGTGATATGCATTCAATAGACGCTGAACTTTGAATTTTAATATTTTCCCAGATTAGTGATTGCTATATGCTACCCTCTCATGATGCCTGGCAGTGGCAGGGCACAGCATCTTCCTATCAGCCACACGATCAAGAGAACAGTCAATACTATACAGATTGTTTTCATTTTCAGTACAGTATTCAATAAATCACATGAGACCATTTATTATAACATGGTCTTTGTGTTACAAGGTTTTGCCCATCTGTAGGCTAATGTAAGTCCTGTGAACATACTTAAGGTGGACTAGGATAACCTATCATGTAGGTTAGATATATTTTTGACTTCTGATATTTTCAATTTACAAATAGTTTACCAGATTAACCCCATCAGAAATCAAGGAGGAGCTTTATGAATTATGTCATAACTTCGTTTAAATTGTTAAAACCACTTTGGTTTTATGTATCAATGCTGGGTATATAAAGTTCCAGGGTTAGGCCCTCCCATCCATGAGCTCTGCAACAGCAGTGTGAACCTCCTTCATCTTGAGCGAAGGAAGTGGGGTTCTACACAAAGAGCTCATCTGATACTTTGGCAGAAATCTAATAAGCACCATAACCCCTGAGAGGTAGAAAAGTATAAATGATCTTTCTTGTTCTCTAGAGCCACCATTCTGCTTCATTCTATACTCATGAAAAACCTCCTCTCTTAGGTTCACACTTCATGGATTCCCTACCCACCTTGAAATAACTATTACCAAGTTTCCTACTCACACAAACTGAAACCCTCCTCTCCACATGGCTCCTTCCATTACTTTTGAAGATCTCACTATGTAAGAGCACGATACATCCTAGATCGTTATATCTTAGTTCCTCAACCTCCCAATCCCTAATGATCTCCATCCTCGTTATCCAAGAACATCATCACACCTGTTACTGTCACCCCTAGAAACTCGTCACCTCACAAGTCACAGCTTTAAACTTACCATTTCTCATCTGACTTCTTCCAACTTTCCTACTTCATTTAGCTTTTATGATCCATAGATCCCTTTATCTTTTTTTTTTTAATCATACTCTTAATCCTCCACTCCCTTAGCCAACTCAGATTCCTGGGCCCATCAGAACAACTGACTTATTGCAAATACATTGGTCTTTCTTACCAAGCCGCTTCTTTCACAGAATCTGCCCATGAGACCTCAGGCCCAAATGAACTCTACCATCTTTCTCTCCTGTGTCAGTACCTCAGCAATTGAGTGCGCTCATAAAAATCACAAAGCCGGGCCCTCCTTGCTGGCGCAGAGGATTAA